TCCCTCCCTCCCTCCCTCCTCCTTCCTTCCTTCCTTCATTTATTTATTTATGGCTGCTTTGGGTTTTCGTTGCTGCGCACAGGCTTTCTCTAGCTGCGGCGAGCGGGGGTTACTCTTCGTTGCAGTGCACCGGCTTCTCATTGCAATGGCTTCTCTTGCTGCAGAGCACGGGCTCTAGGCGCATGGGCTTCAGTAGTTGTGGCGCATGGGCTCAGTAGCTGTGGCTTGTGGGCTCTAGAGCACGCAGGCTTCAGTAGTTACAGCGCTCAGGCTCAGTAGTTGTTGCGCACGGGCTTCACTGCTCCGCGGCACGTGGGAGCTTCCCAGACCAGGACTCCAACCCGTGTCCCCCACATTGGCAGGTGGATTCTTAACCACTGCGCCACCAGGGAAGTCCAGAAGTTATTATTAATTTTGTTAGAAGTGCTGATGATGTTGTGGTTGTTGGGGAATGTGACTCTTTACAGATCAACACTGAAGTATTTAGGCGTGAAATGTCTCGATGTCTGTAATTTACTTAAGTACTTCAGCAGCAATAAGAACAGATGAAGCAAATGTGGCACAGTGCTCACTGTTAAATCTACGTGATGCACATACGGGTGCCCATTATACTATGCTCTCTGCTTTCAAAAATGTTTTAATATTTTCTTAAAAGAAAAAAATTCTTAAAACCCCAGGGCAATCATATCAATCACTGCTTTATAGTCACTGACAATGCAACCGATTTTAATCAGCCAATACGTTGTTTGAACAGAGAACATTCTGTGATAGCTAATGCTGACATCACACAGCAAGAGAGAGCCAAATGTTGCCGAGAAACGAAAAACAGCTGGCCAAGTGGCAAGGCCACCAACAATTCTGTGGCTTTTGCTGAGAACTCTATTTCTGAGCACAGGCCGCCCTCTGAGTGCTTCACAAAGCCAACAACAGCGGTCTGCTTTGGGAAACCTTGCCGGGTGAGAGCCGTTGGTCAACCAAGCACCCAGTGGAGGCAGAGAAGGTCAGTGTGGCAACACTGGCCTGTGTTGCTCCCACAGGCCTGTAAATAAAGCCATAGCTACAGGGCTTCATTTAACCAACCCAGAGCTGTCAGAGAAAAATCACATTACCTGTTGCTTAAAAGACGTGAGGTCTAGCAAGGATGGACAAAGCACCCGCCTTCCTTTTAGGGGCCCCGTAAGTAAAAACATGTCATGAACTCCTTGACGGCAGGGTCCACGCTTTTCCTCTTTGTACCCTCCCCTGACACCTGGCAGAGAGCAGGCATAAATAAGTTTGTTCAGTGAATGAATGAGCTCTGGGTTCCAGATTTGCACACCTCCGCCCATTTGAAAAAAAAATCATGTCAAAGTACAGGCCAAACCTAAGGACCTAAGAAGGTACTGTGGTAAGTGTCTTGGGAGTATTCTGCCCCATCTTTCTGCTTCCTAAGCTTAACTGATTGGATCAACCTACGAACTAGATAGAGCATCACTTGGAATATGAACATTATCCCAGAAGAGATTTTGTGCAGGCACTATAAAGGCCTTTCAATCTTATTAAGACATTAAAAGATGCAACTTTTAAAAGGTATGATCTTAAATGTTTTTGTGGCCCACTATCAACTAAAAGTCAAATGTGATTTGAAGAAAATGGTAATGCATGTGGTTCTCAGTAGACACACCTGCTAATGGAGTCTCCCCATGCTGTGCTTAGGAAGGTGGGGCTGGCTGTCTCCCACAAGCATCTCAATTCACCAGGCTCCCAAACCAAAAGCATTGTTCTTTACAGCCCGTCCTTGTGCCTGTCAGGGTCTCTTTCTCTCAGGGTCTTATTCGAAGTTGCTCGTAGACTAGATTGGACATGTCATCAGCCAGGGTCATGCTTATTCAGTCAACAAACATGGTCTGAGCACCATTCACACCTTCAGCAAACAAAAATTTTCACCGTGAGCTGGGCCATGCCCTAGGTTAGGTGCTGGGGTGTGAACACTGTGTAAGTATCAGATAGAGGGCGAGACTTGGGTAGCAGGAGATAGTGGCAAAGAAGTCAGCAAATAAAGCCCTGCCGGGCTTTGATAGAACAAGTTGCCTCTGGATGGAGCTTGGGGGCCTCCATTCTGTCTGTCTCCTCTTACCTGACCCTGAACATCTGGGATGACCCTCAGCTCAACTCTTGGAGACTCAGCCCAGAGCACAAACCTTCAGTTCCAATGGGCCCTTCTCTCTTTGTCCCCTGACACCCATCATGGTGGCCCCTCCAGGTGTCCCACAGTTTTGTCTTGGGTGGGCCTACTTAGTACCCTCTTCCCCTAGACCCTCAGCATAGGCACATCTACAAGGTAAGGAGTTTAATGGCTTCTTAACACACATTCTCTTGTTTGCTCCTCTCCATCCTCTGTAGGACAGGAATTCTTTTTTTTCTTAATATTTTTTAAATTTATTTATTTGGTTGTGCCGGGTCTTAGTTGTGGCAGGCGGGCTCCTTAGTTGTGGCAGGCGGTCTCCTTAGTTGTGGCATGCTCAATCTTAGTTGTGGCACGCATGTGGGATCTAGTTCCCTGACCATGGATCGAACACTGCATTGGGAGGGCAGAGTCTTATCCACTGCGCCACCAGGGAAGTCCCTAGGATGGGAATTCTTATATATAGTTTCCTGAAAAGAAATGGAGTCTTAGAGAGGTTAAAATTTGCCCACGGTCACATGGCTAGTAAATAATAAACCTGAACTTGAGCCCAGATCTGATTTCCACACAATCATCCACACATCCAGTTACTTTTGTGTGTTTATAAGAATGCCAAGAGTCTTGTCCACAGCAGTTGCTAAACACTTATTGATTGGATTTTCCATTTGCAAAGAGACGCCCTTACCTTAAAATAGAATTGTACTCACTTCCTCTTTAAAAGAAAATTCTAAAAGCTTTAACTCCAAAACAGCCCATGGGAACCTTTAAGGCAAAGACAAGGCCTGAGGATTAGAATAGCAGAAACAGAATGAGGGGCCCGGGCGACAAGTTCTAATTTTACAGCTCTCCTCAGCTTCACTATTTAGCTGTTCTCTTTCTCAGTTACAAAAGAGGGGCAAAGAACAACTGTCACACACACGTCAAAACACACGTCCTTATAGGACCTCAAGGCGACAGTGCTACTACACAGGCAGACCCCACTTTATCACATTTCACAGATACCGTGTTTTTTTTACAAATTGAAGGCTGGTGGCAACCCTGCATCAAGCAAGTCTATCGGCACCATTTTTCCAACAGTATTTGCTCACTTCGTATCTCTGTGTCACTAATTCTCACAATGTTTCAAACTTTCATGGTGATCTGCCATCAGTGATCTTTGCTGTTACTAAAATTCAGTGAAGCCTCAGATAATGGTTAGCAATTATTAGCCACAACGTATTTTTTAAATTTAGGTATGTACATTGTTATTTTAGACATAATGCTAGTGCACACTTAATGGACTACAGCATAGTGTAAACATAACTTTTACATGCACTGCGAAGCCAAAAAATTTGTGTGACTTGCTTTATTGCGGTGGTCTGGAACCAAATTCACAATATCTCCAAGGCACGCCTGTGAACAGTAACAGCCTAGAACATCTCAAAAAAGGGGAAAAAGGGACATGTATTCTCGACTCCTAGGGATGAGATAAGACACTCGGTTAGAATGTACAGTCTTACTATGCACTCACAGCTACCCTGAGGTCCTCTTACTACTGTCAGTATACAATTGGGGCACAGATGGGTTTCGAAACTGGCCAAGGTCACACTGGGACTGAACACAGGCCATCTGAAGTCAGTGCTGGACACTCCGGGGTCCTATGATTTACCTGCTTAACTGCTACCTTAGCTAAGCTGCCCAACTCTGACACTTATCAGCCTTTCAAATGCAGGCAAATGAACTGCTCTGTACCTTGGTTTCTTTATCTATGAAATGTGGATACTAATACATGGATCACTGGAGGATGAGAGATGGGGCTTTGTTGGGTGTATGATAGGGGTTCAACAGAGAGAAGCACAGCTTCTCTGGCCTTGATTGGACTTAATACCACGAACTCT